TGTATATATATAAATAAAAATACACATGCTCTCTCCTTCCAAAAAATATTAGACCGAGGAACTTCATTCCCCACAAAGAAAACAATCCTCTTTCCTCTTTCCTATAGGTCCCTTTCTTTACCTGCTGCTTCGCTCCAGGGGTAGGAACTTTCAGCCCCGCCTCCCTGCTCGCCCAAGCTCCGCCTTCCCGACCCACCTGTGTGCCCAGCCCCTGACGCTGCCGCTTAGCTTCAGCGGCCTGCAGGATTCCGGCTGCTGATTGGCCGCCCGTCCACGGCTTGCGCAGCCCACCAATGGCAGCGGCGCTGGGTTGGAGGGTGCCCACATCCAAGATGGCGCCCCCAGGAGCTGGGAGCGGGTGACCGGCGGCGGGGAAGCGGCCTGGGTTGGCCCTCAGATTGAGAGGTCCTGGGGGCATCTCGCCGGGCACCCCCCCTGGCCCGCCTACAAGGCCTTCCCCGGGCCAAAGCAATGGCCGCCGAGAACAGCAAGCAGTTTTGGAAGAGGAGCGCTAAGCTGCCGGGGAGGTGAGCCTAGGACGCTGAGAGGGAGAGGGGATTGGACCAAACCCTTCTAGATCCTGGTCCCTAAATCCCCGGGCCTGGGGCGCCACCAAGGCCCGAAGACTGGTTTGGGGAACCCGGGCTGCCTGGTGGCGGCAGGGCAGCTGTCAAGCAGAGGGGCGGGCAGAGAGCTTTGGGGACGGCTGGGCGTGGGTGCAGATCGGGGTCTGGGGGCGGAGGTCTCAGGAGGGGTGACCTCCAGCTGGGAAGTGGCTGAAGACAGGGCGTAAGGGGCAGTGGAGCTGGGCGAGTAGCGGTGTCTTGGGCTCGGAGAGCCATCCCCACGGCTGCTTTCCACTTCAAACAGAACTCCCTCTCGGGGGTCTCCACCACGCACAGGTGGTTGCTTGCACGAGATGGCCCCTTTCTTTGCCCCCCCAGCTGTGCACGTTCCCAAAGGGCTCTGGTGGGAGTTGGGGGCCGCCTGCCGAGGGGTCGGGCAGGAGAAGTGAGGACAATTGTCAAGCCCGACCTTAGTTTATCTTGAGTTGGCCCTTTCCCATTAGGGATTATTACACGGTGACCACAGAATCGGGTTTATTCCTTTGGCATTTTCTAAGGATTTGTCCAACCCCAAGTGACGTCCTCCTCTTCTGCGTTGTAATGTTCTTACACTAAGTGCAAATACACTAAATTCTTTCATTCTTCAGTTGTTTAGTTGGAGAGCAGACCTTCTAAGCTACTTTCTGCCCCCGCGCTCCGCTTTGGTGTATGTTGAGACTCTTAGCAATTATCCATCCATCCATCAGCTATTGGTTTACAGTTTCAATTTGTTTGGGGCAGAGTCCCGGGAAGTATAAGGAGTGTGTGTTTCAGGCGTGAATTTAAGATTTCTGCCAGCCACAGTCTACTTGGTGATGAAATTCGTGTTTGGTTGTGCCCCACATGCTACCTTTTCTAATTGATTCAGGTCTTTCCCTTCTGGGATAATCCTTTGGATTTGTGACCCAGCCCCCCCCTCCTTTTTTTAAAGCTAGAGAGAAATGAGGGTCAGTAGTGGCTATTAAGGATCCTATTAGACATATGGAGAAAAGGGTGGGAGGGGAATAAACCAACCTAATGGGTACTATGAACACTATTTGGGTGAGGGGCACACCTATAGCCAGGACTCAAGCATTACAAAAATGATCCATGTAACCTAAAACATTTGTACCCCATTAATATTTTGAAATAAAAATAAAAAATAAAATGGGTCATCTACAAAATTATTATCCAGTTAACATCTAAAAGAAAAACTAATGGGTACAATGAACACAGGTTGGGTGATGGGCACACCTATAGCCAGGACTCAAGCATTACAAAAGTGATCCATGTAACCTAAAACATTTGTACCCCATTAATATTTTGAGATAAAAAATTAAAATAAAATGGGTCATCTACAAAATTATTATCCAGTTAACATCTAAA